AAACAATCAGAATGGAAGAAGAAACTATTAGTATGACGATGGAAGAAGACAATAGTCAGTACAACCCAAATGAGATTAATGATAATAGAATATACAATAACTATGTAATGGGTATTGAAAGTGAAGAAGACGATGATAAAGATTCTACGAGAGTAGAAGCTAGGCTTGCTGAGGAGAAGAAGAGGCTAGAAGAAGAGGAGAAGAGGCTTGCTGAGGAGAAGAAGATCACTAAAGGAGAGAAGAAGAGGAGAAGAGGCTTGCTGAGGAGAAGAGGAGGTTTACTAAAGGAGAGAAGAAGAGGCTGGTAGAAAAGGAAGAAGAAAACAGTAAAAAGAAAAAAAGAGTAGAAGAAATAGAAAAGAAAGTGGAGGAGGATATGAAAGAGAAAGAAGAAATGAAAAAGGAAATACAAATAAAAGACCAAACCATTAAGAAACTAACAAAAGATATTGTGGCATTAAAGAAGAAGCATGAGAATGAGATAAGCACAAAAAACCATGAGTGCGATAAAAAAATATTCAAATTCCATGCTGAATCTGAAAGAAAAAGGTCTGAAGTAAACAATTTAACACAACAATTATTATTCTTGAAAGATAAATTATCTAAATTAGAAAATGAAAACACACAAGAAGAAAAGAAGAAAGATGAGGTAACTTACAATATAACAGACTCATCTGAAACACAAATTGTGAATGACCTCTCCCCCAATGTGGTAGTAGCTGATGAAATATCATCAAGTGAAGATGATATTCCAAAAAAAAGAAAGTTAACGCAGAAATCCATTGAAGAAATTGATATTCAGCATAAGAAGATCACCACATTTGAATTAGATAATCAAAAAAACGGGGGAAGCAAACAGATAGAAAAGAAGAAATTTTAACACTTTATAAATGTTTTGCTTTAAAATTATTTGAAAGAAAATTAAGAGGTCAACTTAAAGAAGAAATAATAGAAAGATTAATACATGAATTTGGAATTAAAGTTAATGATATTAATGAATATAAAGAAATAATAAAGAAGACATTTAAAATAAAGAATGAAAATAAAAGAGAAATAAATAGAATAATGGAAGAATTAATAAAACATCAATGGAAAGATAAAGAATTAAAAGAAATAATATCAAAAATGAACAAGAAAGAAGAAATAGAAGAAGAGGAGGTAATGAAAATAATTAAAGAAGAAATGAAAGAATAAGAAGATGTACAATTTATTAACTATTATTACAATAAGAAGAAAATACATCAAATAATTAATATTATTAATAAAAATGAAATAATAATCAATACATTAGATGAATATTATCATTATATTAAATCTGTAGCTTCCACTATTAACATAATTAATAAAAATAAACAAGAAAGAAATTGAAAGAGAAGTATAGAAAGAATATTATAATCAAAAATATATAGAATAAGAGATTTACTCCATAATAAACAATATATGAAATTAAAAAGAATATTACATATTAAGAAAAATGATATATATCATATTAAAATAAAAACAAATAAACAAATAAACTATTATAAATACCTCTGAAAGATGAAAAGAATAGAAATAGAAGCAAGAAAGAATAATTGGAAAAGAATAAGATGGAATTATAAAATGATGAAATATTGGAAAAGGCAACATCTAAATAAATATAAAGAAGATGAATATCCAGATAATATCTCCACTATTAATTTCTGGAAATGAATCTATGAAACTAACACTAATATAGATTTCCTAAATATTAATTTATATGAAATATTAATTGAAGATAGAATTAATAATAGAATATCAATAATCACTCCCAATGAACTAGACTGTGATATTAAATTTACTGATAACTGGAAGGCACCGGGAGTTGATAAAATACAATGATTTTGGATTAAATATTTAGAACAACCAATGAAATATTTATTAAAATTATTTAATGAATGGTTAAATAATCCTAATGAAATACCTCCTCATTTTATTCAAGGAAGAAACAATATTAATATATAAGAAAGGAGATAAATTAGACCCACAGAATTACAAACAGTAATTTGCTTAAATTGTCTGTTAAAAGTATATACATCAATATTAAAAATGAAAATAGAAAGCCAGCTGATGCTAAATCCAATTGAAAAACAACTATCATTAAATCAAATTTGATGTAAGAAATACACATACGCATCAAAAGAAGGATTATTATACAATACTATAATCATTCAATTATTAATAAAGGCTAAATGGAAGTGGGTAGAAACATATTATGACGTCTCCAAAGCATATGATAGTATTAATCATCAATGGATTAAACAATGCTTAATATATTTTAATATCCAACTAGTAGTAATTAATAGTATATTATACATATTAAATAATACACATCTTAATTTATATTACAATCATGAAAGTGTAGGTATAATTAATGTAGAAAGATGAATAATACAAATGATAGTTTATCTCCACTTTTATTTGTATTATCTATTGATGTATTATCTAAACAATTAGATAAACAAATAAACAAATTAAATATTAAAATGAATGGAGAAGAAAAACAAGTCCAGTTAATTCACATATTGTATATGGACGATTTAAAGATAATGACTAATAGCCTCAATGAAATGGAAAAAGCACACAAATTAACTAAAGAAATATTTAATGCAATAGGATTAAAAATTAATGTAGAAAAGAGTGGGATAATGACTAATATTAATAGTCAAATAAATGGTGAATTAGCTGAACTACCAAGAGTAACTAATGACAATCATTATAAATATCTTGGTATTGAAATATGAGATAAAATAAATAATAATAAATATTGTACAAGAATATTAAATTATGTATCTTCTATTTTATCATCATTAAATACTATGAAGTATAGCAGCCTCAATACAATAAGAAAGATTAATAGTGATATAATCTCCAAATTAAGATATGGATTTAGTATTGTCCCATGGAAACTATGAGAGTTAGAGAAGATAGATAAACAAATAAGAAAATCATTAATACAACTCCAATTATACAGTAGAAATATCCCAAAAAGTAGATTATATGTTAAAATAAATGAATTATGAATATGATTAATGTCAGCAAGAGATGAATGTGGTAAAGAATTATTAAGAATATATTTAAAATATAAGTGGAGATCAAGCACAGAAATAGGAGAAATGATAGAAATAATAAAAGAAAATCCAAATTGAATAATTAAAAGAATGAAGAAAGCATTTGGTAAGAAGATTAATTTTAATGAATTAATGAATATAATAGAAATAAATGAAAGAAAGCACAATGTAAAGGAAGTATTTGAATGGGTAAATAATGAACTAAATGATAGATATTTAAATGATTGGAAAGAAAAGAAATGTGGTGAATATATAAGATGTGCAAATGGCACTTTTAATGATAAGAAATTAACAATAACCACATGGAGGTCATTGAATATAAAAAGAAATGCATTCCTCCAAATAGTAAAAATGCAAGAAGGAGTAACTATGACAGGAAATATTAAATCTAAAATACTCCAAAATGATGATTTAAAATATTGTAAACATTGTCCTAACACAATAGCATCTATTATTCATATACTGTTATGATGTAATGAAAAAGAATCAAATATCAAAACATAATTATGTTTGTAAACAAATATTTAAACACATATTAATTACACATTTTAATGAATTTGATGCTATTGATTTTAATAATCTTCATAAATGTATTAATAATGATAAAATGATCATAACTTACAATAAAGATTTATTGGTTAGTGATAATTCTTTCCATGCTAGAAGACCAGATATATATTATCAAAATATGAAAGAAAAGAAAGGATATATTATAGATGTTGTTATATGTCAAGATAATAATTTAGAATTAAATTACATTCACAAAATAAATAAATACAAAGAATTACAAGAGAAATTAAGAAATAATAGAGAAATAATATATGTAGAAATAATACCTGTAATATTATCAATAAATTGATTAATACACAAAGAGTCTGTAAGAAGATTAAAAACATTAAAATTACAATTAGACTTTTCCAAAATCCTGCGAACAATAATAATAAAAAATATGAAAGACTTAATGTTTTATACAGGAAATTCTGGCAGCACATTAGAAGAAGAACAATCTAATGCGAGTATATTAGAAATGAACTCTATTACACCAATAGAGCATATTGAAGAAATTGAAATAATCACTTCTCAATATGAAGAAAATCCAATTGAGGATATATCTAATAATTGACCTTTTTTTTTTTTTTTTTTTTTTTTTTATTCTTGGACTTTCTCATTTTTCTTTTTATTCTGACTTAACTTCTTTCTTGTTGTATATCTTCTTTTCTTTAATTATTTTTCTTCTTCATATTCTCTTTTCTTATTTCACTTTCACTCTTTGGTATTATTCTATATTCATTATTTATATTGTCTTTATTCATATTCATATTTCCTCATTTGATTCTTTTCTTCTTCTCTTCTTCTCTTTTATTCCTTTTATTATTCATATTAAAACTCATTTTATTGATATTGACAATTACTCTCCTCACTGGATTTGAATATTTATTTCTTGTTTGACTTTCTTTTCAAGCTTCAATGACATTGTTCATTAATGATGATATAAACTATTATGTCTTTTGTATTGAAAAGAAATTCGGATATAAAGAAAATGCTTTAACGAACTTCTTGACTTCAAGTATTACTTCAACTAATAGTTTTTCTCTTATTATAAAATTCCAATTTATCAAAAACTAATTGAATTAGGTATGGGTATTAGGTTTTCTTTAATGGAGAAACTCTCCTCCAAATCCTCCCATTGCTATATTCCCACTGGCTAAGAATCTTCCAAATCCACTTCCCATTCCATTTTGTTGTTCTGTTATCACTTTAACATTATCACATTCAATTGGTTGAATTGAATTTGAAGTGTCAATTATCTTCATATTTTGACATTTTATCATTTTGACTTCTTTTCCTTTAACATCACTATCAATATCAATTCCACTACACTCTTCCATTTCAAGTTTCTTCAATTTTTCACTTAACATAAACTTTACATCTTGCATTCTTTTCATTATAACTTCTTCTTGACAATATGAAATACTATTAATTCCACTACTATTAATAATAATTCCTTTATTACATGATGCAAATGAAGAGAAAGATATTAATTGACTATTTTCAATATGTATTGTGTCAGTCTTTACATCACAAGGGAATGGTCTTACAAAAATCCCAACTTTACTATCAACAACTTCTAATAACTCTTTAACTTCATCAATATCAAATTTCATATTCTCACATTTGTTAATTATTATTGATTGAGCATATCTGATTCTTGATTTAATTTCTTGTTCATTATATTCTTTTTGTTCTTTATTCTTACAATTATTGAATTGAATATTTCCATATTCTTCATATTCTCCTTCAAATATTATATCCTCACTATTTTCTATTGTAACATCACTGTTAATATCACTTTTAATTTTAATAATACTGTCATAACCATTTCTTATTATAACATGTTTCTTATCTGTTTCTATTTCTATGTCTTTCTTTTGATTATTCATATCTATTATTTCTGTATCTTCTTTTGTATTCTTCTTTGTTTCTGGAATACTACATTCTTCATTATCTATTGTGTTGACTTCTTCAAGATTATCTAATTTCCCTGTAATTTCTGTATTTTTACATCTTGTTATTTTCATTTTGTTAATTTCATTTTGTTAATTTCATTTTGTTTAATTATGAATTTACAATTCTCACATTCATCAATATATAATTTCTTACAGTTATCAAATAATCCTTCAAAAGTTGAATCTTTCATTCTTATAATACAAATCTCTTCTGCTTCTTTCAATGACATTCTTTTGTATTCTTCATTTCTTTTCAATATAATTCTCTTTGGTTTAATATCAATTTCATTGATTGTAGATTCAACTACTTTCAATGAATTACATTTTTCATTTCCTTTAATACTAACTTCTTTAGATTCTGCTATTATTAATTGGCTCAGAGGTGATTTAATTTCAATTATATTTCCTTTTATTATATCAATGTTTTGTTCATTGTTTGATTCTATTTCTAATTTGAAATTCTCACATTCTTTAATATAATTATTACTTCTTTTGTCTGTTATGATTTTAATTTCTATTTCTTTATTTCTGTTGAAATTCAATTTTTCTAGATAATCTGATTTAACACTAATTTGACACTTTTCACATTCAGTCATTTCAATATTTTTGATTTTATTTGTTGTTGTGTTAATATTTAAATTATAACATCGTATTAATTGAAGTACTTCAAGATTTGGTAATGTATTTTCAAATGATAACTTATCTTTTTCTTTTTTTTCTTGTTCTTCTTGTTTAGGTTTTTGTTTAAATCCAAATTGTAATTTACCTCTTTGTTTTTCATCTATTTCATTTACACCAATAATTTTTAATTCTTTTAAATGAAGTGTATTTAGTAGTTCAATAGATGGATTATCTGATTCAATAATTAATGTTTCAATATATTGTTGATTTATAATTAACTTTGTCTTTTTTGTTCTAATAAAAAGATATTTAATATGTTTAGGTAATTCTGGTAACTCAATATTTGTAATTTGAACATTTTCTTCAAATGTTTTTTGTAAAGGTTCAATAAATGAAATGCAATTGGCGTATAAGTCATTAAGAATGTTATGAATTTTTTTTCTTTTCTCCTCATTAATAATATCATTGATAGTAATTTTAATATCGAATAAATTATAGTTATCAATATCATTTGATGATGTTCTAATAGGTATTATATTATGTTCATTATTTTCTTCATTTATAAGAATTTTATGAGAATATACTTTAATACCTTTTGGTGTATTAGAAATAACTTTTTCTGGTATATCATCATAAATAATTCTTATATTCTTTTTTTCTATATTTTTTATCCATACTCCATTTGTATTTCCTTCAATTATTATTTCACTTGGATATTTTTCTTCTTTTATTTTAACTTTATCAATTATTCGTTCAAATAATACTGAAAATACTTCACCACATCTTATTTTTATTCCTTTTTGCATATTTTCAATTAAAATTTCTATTAATTCCTCTGGAATGTCTGAAAGACATGTTATTGTTTCAACTTTTTGAATAATTTTTCTTATTCTCTCTTTTTCTTTTTCTGTTATTCCTATTTCCTCTTCTCCTTCTTCAATCATCCGTTCTTCATCAAACATTTCCATTGTTCTTAAAAAATTATCAATATCATAATTTTTAATCTTTTCAACTTTCATTAATATTGTTTCATCAACTGGAAGTAAATTACAATTACATGTTGGTGGATTAAATATTCTACAAAATTTATTAATATCTTTTTCCGATGTAAACCATGGATTAACTTTTAATGAATTAATCGCAACCCCACATTTCTTATTAATCAGTTCAATATTTTGAATATCTTTCATATCTCTGATATGAGGTATTACTTTCATTAAATACACTGTGTCTAGTTGTTTCATTTCTCTTCTTTTATAATTTCTTGATTTAGTAATTTTCATTAAATAGTTCTACTCTTTATTTTCTAGTTCATCTTATTCATCACATTTACAACTTTTTATAAACTCTTTATATAATAAGATAATACAATTTTTATTATTTTATCCAAACTCAATTAATAAATTTGAAAAATACAATTCAGAAATATCACACAAACCCTAAAATATTTCCAAGCATTGAATCACCAGTTATTATCTGATTATAAGATATAGCAAATAATAATACAAATAATGAAATAAGATAATATGAAAGAATAATAATAAAAGAAAAAGATATAAATGATGATATTAATAAATAAATGAAATTATATATAATTATATAATGATAATGAAATATTCATTTATCATAAAATAAGAAAATAAAGAAAGATTATATTCATTAAAATTACAATAAAAATCAAAGAAGAAGATAAAAAGAAGAATGATTTATTCAAACAAAACAAGAAGAAAATCTAAATAATAAATAAAATAAATAATTTACTCATTTTAATAACAACTGATCTGACTAATATCAAATAATCAATGAATAAATAACAATTTTATTAACATTTAATTATATAATTATTTGTTTTTTTTTTCATTTTTTTAGTTATTCTCATCATTTGGTTATTCATTTATTAACCCATATTTAATTTGTATTTTCTTATTTATATTATAATTTATTTTATCTTCATTTCTTGTTATTTTATAATTACAAATAGTACATCATTTATTATTTAATGTAATTATTATTTTGTTTATTTCATACAAATATACCATTTTCTTACATCAATTTCATTATTTATATTCATTACTCTTATTTCAATATCTTAAACACTTATTCAATTATTGTTCAAATTATTTTTATTATTATCTTATTATTTCATCATTATATTATTCTATATTTCTTTTATTCTTCTCATAACTCATCTTGGTTTTCATATTAACATAAATGAATTGTTCTAAATGAATTATGATAATTCTATTTATGTTCAATTAATTTTCTTTTTGTAATAAATAAATTTCATTAGAGAATGTAATACTAATTAGTCCTGAATATTAAGGTAATAGTTAATAAAATGACTTTAACTATTATTTCATTGATATAACTTATATTGATTAATAATCATTTATACCTTATAAATCATTCATTTATTTATCTTCATGTTTAAAATGAAATATTCTTTTTATTGTCGAAACATAACCTTTTTTATTACAAAAAATAATATAAAGTAATATTAATTGATAAAAAAGTGAGTTAATAAGTCATTCAATGATCTCTTCATTACTTAAATGTCCTTCGTCATCATAGCATATTCCAACACCTAACTTTTCTCTAAACAATTGTCTTAAATATCTTCTTTCTTCTTGAAGATCTTTCATTCTCATTTTCATTTCAGACATTTTTTGAAGATACATTTGATTTTCATTAAAAGTACTTACTCGTAGTTGATTAATTTGATGAACAAGAGACAAAACTCTTTGTTTCATTTCTAGTTGAGAAGTCATACGAAGTTCAATCATTCGATATCCTTCTTCAGAAAGATATCCATATAAACTTTCCCAGTCAGTTTTAAGATAATCAATAAGTGGAATAACAAGATTTTGAGGAAGATCCATTATAACATCTGATTCATCACAATAAAATTTCTAAAATAATAAGAAGAATGTAATGAATATTCATAATAAAAAAAGAATATTGAAACAAACAGAAATTTGAATGATATAATTATTAAGTTTCGTTTTTAAATCAATACATTTTGTTGCAATCCATTCTTTCCAAAACGGATAAGGAAGTGTTTTATTTGAAGGAGAAATTATTTCATGAAAACATTTTGAGACATTTAATAATGTGTTTAAATGTTGTGATGAAATAACTTTCATTAACTCTTCAATTATATCATTAAAAGGAATAAGAAACATATTTAAATACATATATTTCATTACTATGTCAGGATTAGTTTTATATAATAATTTATAAATTGTAGACCATGTATATTTAATATAAATAGGAACAATAGAATCATCAGTCATAAGAGAAACAATATCTTCTAAAATTGATTTAAACGCAACCATATTTTTTACTGTTTTTGATGATTGACAATCATCTAACTAATAATATGAATATTATTTTATGTTAGTCAAATGAATTTCAAATTTTAATATATATAATTAATTAAAGAATAAAAAAAAACAAACTGAAGTGTCTTTCATTTTAGTTGCTTTTTTTTGATAAAAGGCAGAGAATTGAGAAAAATAATATTTTTGAGTATATCCTAACATACATTTATATAATGTTACATATGGTGAATATGTATTTAAATCATCATATTTTAAATAAATATCTCTTTCTATACAAAAGTTAATTAATTCTGTTAATTTATTATGTTCATTAAAGAAGTTAAATAACATTATTGAATTTATTTCTTTTTCATCTTGAGTTAATTCTTGTCGTTCTAGATATTGAATAACTGCACTTGTAATACCAACATCACAACTTAAAAGCATCTAATTTGTTAATTATTATTTTCAATGAAATAAAAATATAAATATTATTATTTAAAGAAAACAAATAAACCTTCTCCCAAATATCTGTTTCATCATTATTCCTATTGATACTAATTCCTATCATTTCTTTTATAGAATTTGTTAGTGATTGACTTTCTTTTTCAATTGTAAGTAATTGAGGTGAAATAATAGATTTTCTTTTAGAATTTTGGGAAGACAAGAGTTTAGGAGATGAATGTGGATTTCTATTAAATGACTTTAATTCATTTTGAGGAGATATTGTAATTGTGTTAATTGAATTACGAGGTGAACAACGAGATCTAGGAGTTGAGTTAGTTGAACTGTAGTATTTTATACTCTTTCTTTTATCCATAATAAGAGATGGAATTGCTCTAGGACTTTTTGGTTTAGGAAGTTGTTTACTTGACATATGATAATCTGAAGCAAATCTAACTTTTTTTGGATTTGAAAGTGAAAAGATTTTTTATTTGTAAAAAAACTTAGTTATTTTAAACATTCACAATTCAATTCATATTACATAACTTATGTTTATTGACTTTCAAATAACTATTTTGTTGAATGATTCCCAAAAGTTGTGTTTTAAATGAACATTGACTTAATGAAGAAATAGTTTCTATAAAAAGAGTAATTTCATCATCATTTTGAGGTAGAAATTGAAGAAGTATAACAGATGTTTCATTAATAAAATAAGTAGCTATAACAGGCCATTTGTTTAATACACGTAATATATTGATAGTAATAGAATCATTTCTATCATCCAATTGAACAAAATCATTATCATCTAAAGAATCTTCAAGAAAGTCTAAAAATGTAGTTAAATGATCAGTACACGTATCAACAAGATTATCTGTTCCATAGAAATCAAATAATCTTTTTATAATACCAATATTAATCCAAATAAATAACGTTTGTTCATTAATAGATAAAATTAAATCACAAAATTCAGAAAAACAATCTTGAATATCACAAAAAAGTAATTGAGGAAAAGATGAAGCTAAACTTTCATTAAAAGAATGATTATAACACATATTTGTAAATATTCTTAATATTTCTTTACAACATTTTGTAAAAAGAAAATTTCTAAAATAAGAGATTGATGATATTAATTGAATTTGTATTGAATGAAATTTTGATAAAATTTCTATTGACATAAATATATCTTTAATTGATTCAATTTCTTTTATTTCTTGTAATCGTTTATTTCCATATTTAAAAAAGATTGGAGCATTTTGTTCATTTGATATTTTTTTAACATAAAGATAATATTCCCATGTTTTTATAGTTTTATTTATTATTTCAAAATCATTTATTGAATATTTATTATAATCAATTTCATTTTCATTAATCCCTCGTTTTTGACTTTGGAATAATTCCCTTCTTTTTTTTCGTAATATTGATAATTCATTTTCCCGTTTTTTATAAATGTCTTTTGAAATACTTTCTCTCAAGTTTGTCATTTTATTTTAATTCTTTTAGTTTTTTTTTTATTTTATCTTCCAATTTATTAAATTGGATTTTTTTTGTTATTTAATATTGAATAAATCAAATTTATATGAAAAGACACATAAGTAAAAGAAGTTGTTTATTTTTGAAATATAGTTTCTATGTCTAAACAATTATATATGAAAAGATATAGTGTTTCAATTAATATCGTTTTAAGATGGTTTGCTAAACTTGAGATGACTATTCCAAAAGATTTACCAAAAGATGGTTCAATAGAATTAATTGAAATGCCAATGAATAATGGAAAATCTTTTATTTCTAATCCACATTTTATATGTGAAATGATACACCATAAAGTTATAAGAATTCGTTTACACCCAACTTCACTTTCTGATTTAATACCAAAATATTTAGAACAACATAGTCCAACATATATTTTTAATAAATCATATTATGAAATGAAAAAAGGAATGATTTATGAAAGAAATGTTGATGAAGCTAAAAGTCCAAATCCTTCAATAAAATCTGATAGTGATGAATTTTATCAACTTGTTGCTCATCGTATAATGAGAATATTAAAAAAAGATTTTATACGAAGAAAACAAACTGGACCTCATGGAGAAACTCACGAATGGAAAAATGGACAAATACCATTAACTTTATTTTTGGAACTTATTGAAGGATTAAATAATGTTCTTAATCAAAAACCTTCATTTGTTACTGTTACACCACCATGTTTTGTTGTTGGTGATTTGAGTGGAAGTTATGATGATGCAATTAGACTTTTTTATGCATTAGAAATTATTCCATCAAGTAGTTTTGGTCCTTGTAATGTAGTTCTTGTTGGTGATTATATACCATTTGGTCCTCATCCAATTGAAGTATTTGCTTTGATAGCTGCACTTAGAATTTTATGTCCATTAAACTTTATATTGTTAAATCCTCAATATCCTTTATTAAATCTACCTAATGAATTAATTCCAATATTTGGTTCTATTAAATCTAAAATTATTGATCAATATGGAAATGATAAATTATATTATGCAATTGTTGAATCTATTAGTCATTTTGCAATTGGTGCATTGATTGATAATAAAATTCTTTGTCTTCATCTTGGATTACCAGATTATATTTCCACTTCTTCTAATATTCTTGAAGAACTTAAAAAATTGAAGAAAATCTCTTACAAAACTATTCCTATAGGTGGTTCAGAAAAAGAATCTAAAGAAAATGGATGGTTGTTAGATACAGATGTTCTAGAAAATACAAAGTGTGATTATATTATTAGAGGAAAAGGAAATGAAAAAGATAATATTCTTTTATCAGAGAGTGGTCATATGTTATTCTTAAAATCACATTGTATGGATTCAGAATCAAAAAGAAGTGCAGGTGTATTAGTAGATAAGTCTATGTTAAGAATATTAGTAGTTTCTAAACATACTACTGGTATTGAAAAAGAAGAAGAACAAGAAATGGGTCAAGAGTAATATTCTATTTTTTTTTTCTTTCACTTTGAAAAGATAGACAGATATTTTTTTTTTTGTTTAACTATTTTTAAATACAAGAGAGATAAATATCAATTAATAATTTTTTATTTTAATGAAAAAAAGTTCTTTGAAATATTTTGAGATGTTTACTGCGGTTGTGGTACCTGATGATTCTGAGTCTGAATCAAGTCAAACACCACACCTTATAAAAAAAAGTAAAATACAATATGCTGGAGATGCGTCAATTGAAACATTTTTCCTAATAGGATTATTAGCACAATATGCAACTATTACATTTTCAATATTACACCCAAAAGAAGTGGATGCTGCAATTCCTTATATATCAACAATTGAAATTGAAGGAGATGTTGTTGATTTTAAGGAATATTTAAAATCTAAATTTCCAAAAGAACCAACGTCATACCAAATAATCAATACTAGTAATAACTATATTATAGATGTAATTGGATTGTTTGGATATTCTTTTCAAACAAAAACCATAGATATATATGAAATGATTGAATCAGTTGAGAAAAATAATGAACCATTTTTATATTCTGATGAAATTATTTCTATTGGTACACAAATTCACAATATGTTTTTTGATAATAAAGAAGAAGTGGTTTTATGTTCAACAACAACATTAGTTCAAGAGATGTTTTAAAAATGATTAATTAATTTAATGTTTAAATTATAAAGAATATTATTATAAATTGTTACAAATAATCAATTATGTGGTAATAAATCAATAAGAAAATCAAACTTTTCATCACTAACAATTGCTTTAACAATATCATCTTTTTTAATTACTTTTCTTTTTGAGTATGAAGTAATATATCCTGCACGTGTTGTTAAATCTTTAATAAATAATTCACATGCACGAGAAAGTATTTCTACTGTTTCTGTTTTTAATTGTTTATTATCAATATTAATTTTTGTAAGTTTTCTAATTCTAGCAGGTGGAAATGGTTTTTCTTTAAAGTTATAATTTTCTGATTCTACTGACATTTTTTCCCAAAAATCACCACTACCAAATCGTTTAATTGGATGTTTTATTTGTCTACCATTTGGTGATAATACTCTATCAGAAATAGAAGGTTGAATTGGAGATTCTATAGGTTGTTGAGGTACAACAGAAAGAGTTTCTTTTATATTAAAAACTTTAGGATCAGGATATGCGTATAGAGGAGGGTTTTCAATTTTTGAATTAGAATAATAATATTGTTGATATGTTGCAATTAATGACTCATCTTGTTGTCGTTGACTTATTATTTGACGAGAAGAATTTGTATGATAATTTGTATTTTCACAATACAAATCATGAGGATGATTAGGAGATGAAGGGAGTTGAGAAGGAGATTGCATTAAAGAAATATTAGATGAAACTAATAATTTAAATTGGATTAGTTGTATGGATAAACAACTTCCTACACAAATATTACTTGAATGGATTAATACAAAAGTATGGATAATATTAAAAAGTCAACGTGAATTTGTTGGAATAATGAAAGGAATTGATGAATATACAAGTTTGTTAAAAAAATAAGAATATAATAATAAAATATATTAAAAGAAATAGATATTATTCTCCAAGATTGTATTGAATATGAAATAAAAGATAATAAAGAAAATTATCAAACACAACATAAATTAATATTAGTAAGTGGAAATGGAATTGATATGATTTCAAAAGGAGAGAAAACTGATTTATAACTACAAATTTTTTTAAATTTCATTGAAGTTAATTTTTGGGATTAAATATTTATAGATAAAACATGAAAAATAAAATAAAACATTAAAATAATAAAGAATTTCAACAATTCGTTTTTATAGTTTTTTTTTGGTAGTAACTAAAAAGATTTACTCATTCTTAATGGTTTGCTTCATTTTCCTTCTTTTTTTTAAAAAGAAGACATTTCATTAATACAATATAGGAATCAATTATGGAGGTGTTAAAAAGTAATAAAAATAATGATAAAAGAAAATCAACAGGAAGTACAATTCAAAAAGAAGAAGAAAATGAAAAAAAACAACGAAGAAATAGTGAAGGGAATAAATATTTAAAAGAAGAAAGAAAAGAAAATAATATAATTGAATATAAAGAAAAAGAAAGTTCAAAAGAAAATAAAAAGAAAGAAATATTATTTATTCCATTTGAAAAAAGTGATAAAGAAAAAGAAAAAGATGAAAAAATTAAAAGAAAAGGAGGATTAGGATTAGAAGAAATAATTGCAGTAATAATGTATTCAGATAGTATTAATACAGTTATTAATATGAGATATGTTAGTAAACATATTTATTCAGCAATTAGACATGTTTCAACAAATCCATATTATAGTGAAAAAAAAATAAATAAAACAATTGGAATGAAAAAAAGAATTATTACAGCAAGAAAAGATTTATTGGTATTTAGAAATTTAAAACATTTTAAAGGACAATTAGAAACAATAGAAACAATTATGGCAAATAAATTATTAAAATATGAATCATTAATGATAATTAATGATTTTTCAAATGTTAATCATAATATTTTTCAATCAATTAAACATAAAGTTATTGATTTAACAATTATTCTTTATCCAGAAATTATAATTGATTTTGAAGGACTTATATCATTAAAACGATTAAGAATTGATTTTAATAATAATGATGTTTCAATATTTGAAGAATTAATAAAAGAATGTCTTTTAAAAATTAAAAAGAATAATAAATTAAAAGAAATATATTTTAAATGTAATGGAAGATATTCATTATTATTAGGAAAAATATTAAGTGATTGTGATTTAATTAATCAAGAAATATATATTAGATTTGATAAAATAACAGAAGGTGAATGTCAAGGATTTATTCAAAATCAACCATTTGCTCATATCTTTGTAACAAAAAATGAATTAATTGATAGTGTATTAAATGATAAAGTAAAATTAATGCCAGATAATGTAAATATTTATTGGATATCTAGTTCATTAATAATAAAAAAAGAATTTATTAAAGAATTTAGTTTATTAAATTGTCCAATTAAAATGAATATTAATGGAATATGTGATAATGAAGATATAAAAACAATTGATATTACTACATGTACTACATTAACTTCTATTATATTTAATGATTGTCATTATATTAATAAATGTTCATTATTATTACCTAAAAATATTATTTCATTTGGAATGATTAATACAGATTCAATTACTATTCCAGAATTAAATGAATGTTATATTCAAAAATTAGAATTAATATCATGTAATTCATTTTATACATTAAATATTCCTACATCTTTAATAGAATTATCTATTGATAAATGTATTTTATTAACTTCATTAGAAAATTTAAATAAAGCAAAATTACAAAATTTAAAAATAATAAGTTGTTCTAAAATAGTTAAATTAGATATTCCATCTACTCTTACATATCTTCAACTTAATGATTGTTTATCAATTACTCATCTTTTAAATTTAGAAAATGCATCTGTTAAAGATTTATATTTAAAATATTGTAATTCTCTTACAACATTATGTCTTCCTTCATTATTAACTTTAATTCAAATTAGTAATTGTGAGAAATTAATTGAACTTAGAAATTTTACAGAATTAAAATTATTATCATTTGAAACTATTGGATCATTTAATGTTGATAATTTATTATTTCCATCTTCTCTTACTTATTTAAATCTTCAAAATTATAGTTCAACTCAAACTATTACATTAACTAATCTTACTGAACTTTATCAACTTAAAGATCTTAGAATATCAGATGCTAAATATCTTGAAATGTTATCATTTCCACCTAATTTAACTTCACTTATTCTTCATGGATGTCATTCACTTACTTTTTATCCTAATTTAATGGATTTACCATTAAAAATGATGGATATTACAGCTTGTGATGCATTAACTTGTTTAAGTTTTCCAACAACATTAACAAAAATGATAATAAATGATTGTCAACATGTTATTGAATTTCCTAATTTAGAAGAAATGACAGTATTAAAAAATATAGAATTAACTCAATGTCCTAGTTTAGAAATTATTCGTTTTCCACTTTCTTTAGAACATTTAAATATTTCTAAATGTAAAAATTTATTAACATTACCTAATTTACATGAATTAAATATTCCTTTTAAAAATTTATTACCTTTCTATTACAATCTTAAACATCCATTTATTCCAACTTCTCTTACTGGAATTATTATTGAAGCTTGGGAATGTATTTCTTTACCAAATTTAATAAATATTCCTCTTCAAGACCTTCAAATACTTAATTGTTCATTTTTAACTTCATTAAGTTGTCCTTCTACTATTTCTTTTCTAGAAATTAGTGGATGTAAATCAATTTCTAAAATTGTTAATCTACAAAAATTAAATATTCAAATACTTAAAATTTGTTATTGTTCTTCATTAAAATCAATTAAATTACCATCAACTATTTCAAAATTAGTTATGTATGATAATATGAATATTACTCTTCCAAATATTAAAAAAATTTCAATTAAATATTTATATTTAGAATCTATGGAAAATATTAAATCAATTACAATCCCTTCTACTTTAACAAAATTAGAATTAAAAGAATGTCCTTCTTTATCTTCTCTTGTTAGTTTATCTGATGCTCCTATTAAAGAAATTCATTTATTTTCTTGTAAAAAAGTTAAATCATTAACATTACCTACTACTATTACTAAATTAGTATTAGACTCTTTTAAAAGATTAACTTCTTTAGATAATTTACAAAAACTTACATTAGAATCTTTAAAACTTTCAGGATTAAAACAAATTAAAAGTTTTAAATTCTCTTCTCATCTTACTAAACTTGAATTAAGTAATTGTTTTAATATTCGTACTTTAAATTCAATAACTTCTCTTCAACTTAAAGAATTATCATTATTTTTGATGGAAAATCTTAAAACATTAGAACTTCCAACTATATTAACTAAATTAAGATTAGATAATTGTAAAGTATTAGAATTATCTTCTATTGAAATATTAAATTTCTTAAATGTTTTAGAAATAATTCGTTGTCCTTCTTTAAAAACTCTTTCACTTTCAACTCATTTAACTGATTTATCTATTATTGAATGTTCAAATTTAATAGAACTTAAACATCTTCATGAATTATCTATTCGTCCTTCATTATTATTAGAAATTAGTTTAACTTTAAATAGTCCTATTTTAACACAAAATATATTGAATGATTCAATTAAAAATAATAAAATTGAACTTAAAGAATGGAAATGTGTTCATTTAGATTCTTTTAATCAAATTAATGTTAAACATGTTATTGTAAATTCATGTATTAATTTACAATCTATTTCTTTTGGTTCATGTCTTGAAAACCTTGAAATTAATGATTGTTCTTCATTAACTTCTCTTTCTTGTCATGATTATTCTTTAAAACAATTATTATTAAAGAATTGTTTAGTATTATCTAATGTTACTTTTCCATTTACTTTACAATCTATTCGTATTGATAATTGTAATAATTTACTTTCATTAAATATTAATAATTCAACTTCATTAACTAGAATTGACTGTACAAATTGTAATCATCTTCAAAATATTGATGTTCCAACTTCATTACAATTTATATCGGTTAATGGTTGTGATAATTTAGAAACTTTTAATCATCTTGATACTTCATTAATTCAAGAATGTTTTATTAGTAATTGTGATTGTATTGAATCTTTATCACCTCCTTCTACTATTTCTAAACTTCAAATTCAAAATTGTTATTCTCTTCATACTATTGAAAATATTGATAATTTAAAAAATCTTCCAAGAGATGTTATTTCTTCTTTCAAAAGAATTATGAAACATTAAAATATCTTCATTTCTTCTTTTATTCTTTTTTTTTATTTGATTCTATTAAAAAAAAAAGGTACAAAGTTATTTAGATAAACCAATTATTACGTATTATTCTACTTTCTCAATTTCTTATTTACTATAATTGAATATTGGTTATTTCATTTAATATTAGTATATTAATATATTTGAAGAGTTATTATATTAAATAAAGATTGGTTTAAAAAAGTCATTTAAATTAATTGAATAATCTAAATAATGAATTTGGACGAAACATAATGAAGATAAATCCAATGACTAATATGAAAAAAACCATACCAATTGAAATAAAAACATATTGTTTTGAACCACCTTCTTTATATTCATCAATTATTTGAGGAGTATTTTGAGGAGGTTGATAAGGAATAAAATTAAGTTGAGGTTGATGAGGAATAAAATTAAGTTGAGGTTGATGAGGAATAAAATTAAGTTGAGGTTGAGTAGTAGTAAAAGGAATAGAATGAGATATTTTAATTGGAGTATCACCAAGATGAATTACAATTTTAGTTAAATTAGATAAATGAAGCAAACCAATTCCAATATTGACTTTTTCATTTTTTGAAGCTTTTTTAAAAAGAGAACAAACACCATTACTATTACAATGAAAACTAGAAGATTTTGTATTTGATAAGAAAGGTTTAATAATTTGACCATTTTGATTAACAGTATTTATTGATAATACCTTTCCTTTAGGAAGATTAATTTCATAATTTCTTAGTCTTTTTCCACCAATTTTTGGAAGATCAATAGTTTCTTCATAATGATTATTATTCAATCGTATTTTTGTTTTTTCTTTATATGGTTTTAAAGAAATAGATGTTTCTTTATCAAGACTAAGTGATAAAATACACTTTCCTGAATTTTTATTTAATAAAGATGTAATATATCCATTTGAACAAAATGAGAATTGAAGAGGATTAATTCCATCTTCACATATTGATGAAATATGTTTAATTTGATTATTACAATTTCCTATTTTAATTGTTTTAGATTGAGAAGGTATTGAAATTTTACACTCATTTCCACAAAAAACAGAAGTAGGTATAGATGTAATTTTAATATGAGATGTTGTATGTTTCATTTGATTTTCATTTGGTTGAATAATTTTAATTTTATCTAATTTTGATGAATCAATTTGAAGAGTTGATTGAAGTGGAGGAGTTGAAGTAAAGAAAGCAAGATAAACAGATGATTCACTTTCAAGAATAATTGAAGATGTTTTTTGGAAAGAATTTAATAAACAATTTTGAAATAAACATGAATCAACAACGTGGAGATGAGTAATTGGAGAATATGAAATATTAACAAGAAGAGGAACATTTTCATAATTTTTGATTTTAAACCATCTTGTATGATGTTGTTTAAAATCATTACATCCAGTATATGATGGTGTTGAAACTTTCATTATTTTATTATTAATGAGTATTTTAGTATTTGAAGAGGTTAATATTATTTCTTGTGCCTCTAAACATTGTTGAGAAAATCCAAATGAAAGAAGAAGAAAGAAAACAATTATCATAATATATTCTTTTATTCTCTTTAAATTAAAAATTAAATGAATTAAAAAGATGAAAAAAAATAAAAATAAAAAAAGAAGAATTCCAATTTAATAAATGAATGGAATAAGAATCCATCTCTTTGGATAATCTGGGAACATGTGAAGATACTTTTGATGTCTTTGATATGCCCATTCTCTCATTTGATAAATTCCACAGCAAGAGAATGCAATACCAAAGAATGAAAAACCTGTCATAACATTAAAGAAAATCCATGTCATAATTTCACAGAAATAATTAGCACAAGTAATGTATTCAAAAAGGAATCCATGTGGCATTTTCCATTCTTGTGATCCTGGTGTTCTTAATTGTTTAAGAAGAAGATGACAATATCCATTAGAAATAATAGATACAATCATTCCAATTAATCCAAGTATAATAAGAATTGAACAATTTTCTCTTGGGAAGAAATTAACATTAATTGCAACAGCAATAGCAAATCCATAATAATATGTGCAATTTTTATATAAATTAAAAACTGGCATTGTCATATCTCCAAATTCATGGACATAAATAGTTTCTACAATTCTTTTAATGTAATGAATTACCCACATAATAACTGCAAGTTTATTTTGAAGAAGACTTGGATATCCTGCAAGTAATGAAATAAGATAAATTAAAACATAAAGTGCTAATGGTCCAACATATTCACAAATGTATACAAATCTAAATGGTAATTGTGCTCCAAGATCTTTCATTTCAATTGGTGTATCTTCAGTAACTCCTGATTCTTGAAGTGTTTTATCAACTTCAAGAACAACTTTTTCTTCTCCTTTTTGATACCATAATCTTTGTCTACAAGCTTTTAATCCTACTACCTTTTCAATATCAAAACGTAATTCACGTACTTGTTTAGTAAGTTCAGTTTCTACAGTATAAGTATTACCTTTATAAAGAATCTTAACCATTTATCTTAATTATCAAGTTTTTGATTAAAGGTTTTTAAAGGGTTTTTTTTCTTTTTCTTTTTCTCTTTTTTTTTTTTTAAAGAAGAAGTGAGTGTTATTAAAAAGTATTTCTTTTCTGTGAATATGTTGTGCCACGTCTTCATCTAAAAAACATAATTTTATGGTAGTTAAATGAAGAAAGAAAATATGTTGTTAAAGAATTGAGTTATTTTATGATTTGAAAGAGAAAGAATAAATTAATCTTATAAAAAACATTAAATGGAAGAAAAACAAAAAGAATATACTCAAATATCAACACTTCCTACACCAGCAGATGTTAATAAAGCAGTACAATTTGAAGGGACAGTATTAAGATCATCAAATACTAAATTACTTGAAAATAAAAGAATGTATAGATGTAGTAAATGCAAAAGAGAATTTGAAGTAGAGGCACAAGTTGAAACGTCATTTCAATTTGAAATGCCACCATTTTGTGGAGGAACAACAAGAACAGGAGATTTATGTAAAAATAAAAAATTTACACAATGTGGAAATGCTGAGACAATAGATTATCAAGAATTAAGAATTCAAGAACCAATACATAATTTTGTAACAGCTGGATTACAACGTCAAGTAAGTGTTATTTTACTTGGACAGAATGTTGGAGAAGTTCAAACAGGAGATTTTGTTACAATTAAAGGAATAGTTAAAGTACGATGGATTTCATATAATATTGATGAAATACCAGAATTAGAAATTGTTGTTCTTGTAGATGAAATAATTTCTAAAAATGTAGATAAAATGGCAATTAATGTAACAGCAGAGATGGAAGAAGAATTTAAAGCATATTGGGAAGAAAATAAAAATCATCCAATTAAAGGAAGGGATATGATATTACAATCAATTTGTCCTGAATTATGTGGATTACGTATGTGTAAATTAGCAGTAATGTTAGTTGCAACAGGAGGAATTTCAAGAATAGATAAAGAATCAAAAACAAAAACAAGAGGAACAATACATTTATTACTTGTAGGTGATCCAGGAACAGGTAAATCACAATTATTAAAATTTGCATCTAAATTAGGACCAAGACATGTTCAAACAACTGGAGGTGGAACAACATCAGCTGGATTAACCGTTTCAGTTATTAATATTGGAGGAGAATTAAGTTTAGATGCAGGAGCATTAGTTTTAGCAGATGGAGGAGTTTGTTGTATTGATGAATTTTCAGGAATTAATAAATCAGATAGAGCTGATATACATGAAGCAATGGAACAACAAACATTATCAGTTGCAAAAGCAGGAATTGTTAGTCAATTACATACAAGAACAGCTATATTAGCAGCAACAAATCCAAAAGGAAGATATGACCCAACAAAATCAATGAGTTTAAATACTGCAATTGATCCACCATTATTATCAAGATTTGATATTATATTATTATTATTAGATGATAGAAGTAAAATATGGGATGAACAAGTATCTGATTATGTTTTAAATGGACATAAACCAATTAATAAACCATTATTTGATTGTGACCAATTACAATGTTATATCTTATATGTAAAAATGCATTTTTTTCCAGAAATGACAGAAGAAGCAGAATTAGTAATTCAAAAATATTTTCAATATCAAAGAGGAAAAGAAAGAAGAGAATCAGGAAGAACAACAATAAGATTATTTGAATCATTAATTCGAATTTCCCAAGCACATGCAAAATTAATGATGCATCAAAGTGTTACATTAATGGATGCAGTTATGGCAATACTACTTATTGAATCATCTTATAATGGTGCATCAAATAAAAGAGAATATTCAGAATTTCCTATAGACCCAGACAAACAATATGAAGAAGAAGAAATTCGACTTCTTCAAACACTTCAACTTGAATATTTAATTGATAATAAAGTAAATTCACAAAATACTTCAAATGAATTAACTAAAATGAATGAAGAGAAAATACAAAATAAAAAAGGATATACTCAACCATTACATAATATAAGTCAAGAAGATTATGAAAAATCAATACAAAGAGAAGAAGAAGAAACAAGAAAAAGTTTTTGGAATAATTATATGGATTCACAAAGAAAGAGTGAAATGACGGGAATTGTATTTCCATCACAAAGAATGAGAGGAGGACCTTTAAAAAAAGGACAAAGTATTAATTTTCTTATAGAAAAAAGGAAATCTGAAGAACAACTTGAAGAAATAAAAAAAAGTCAAAATTTACAATTTAACATTCCAACAAAAATGAAAAGTATTTCAAATAATCAAAATGATATTGAAAAGAAAACAGACCAAATAAAAGAACAACAAGAAATTAATAAAGAAGTTAAACAAGATGAAGAATTTTCATTTGACAGTGATTTTACTGATCTTTTTGAATTAAATGAAGAAAATTCAAAAGATAAAAATAAAGAAATAAAAGAAATAACAGATGATATTGATAATTTATTAGAAACTTCAACAACAACAACTGAACTATCACTTAAGAAAATTAATTCATTTTCTAAACAAGATGAAAAACCAATTTTAATGACACAAAATAAACATTCTAATTTATTAAATAAAATTAAAATAATGAAAAGTAAAACAAAACAAGAAACAGAAGAAGAAAAAGAAGAATCTGAACAACTAAAAAGAAAACAAATTGATGATGAATTTAGTTTTGATGATATTGATTCATTATTTAAAGAAAAAAGAGATTTGTAATTTAAAATTAAAATAAAGTTTTTTTTTTTTAATTCAATTAATAAATTTGTTTAGCATTACATTGTTCTTTAAAGAAACAAGTAAATATTTTATTATAAAACTCATTATCATCTTCACATGCATCAGTACAATCTGGTTGAAATTTAATTTGATGAAGAATTGGATTAAAATGAGAATCTACCATAACATCAACACCATATATTGCACATGAATTAACTTCAAATTTATATTTATGTGTTTGAATTCCTGCATCAAATGTTCTACTTATTAATATTTCAATTTTTTCTTTTAAATTCTCCCATTTACATTCTTCTCCATATTTTTCATTAAATTGTTTAATAAAATCAATATCACCCATTGTATTTATTTTATTTCCATATTTTTTACTTGTAAAATGTCTTTCATAATCATTTAAATCATCTAAATTAAATGTGTTAGTAGTAAAATGACTCCAAAATCTATCATATAAATAAATATCTGGTTTTTGACTTTTCCACATAACATCATATTTCATTAAAACAATAAATCGAAGTTCAAATTTCCTTTCATTAATAAGAAGTGGTTCTATAATATATTTACTAATAATACATGGAATACTATTAGCTATTTTAATAATAGCATTTATATTATTAAAAATACCATTTCTATTTCCTTCAGTTCTTGTAATAGGTTTAATAATCCAATAATTATCCATTCCTTCTTTTTCTCTTTTAAAATATGTTATTACAAATTCTTTAACTTCTTCAAGATTAGAAAAATCAAATGTTTCTGGAATAATTTTTATATACTCTTTTCCATATGCTAATTTAAGTGTATGATATAATTCTTTATTTATTGTAAGTGAATTTTCTCCTTCAAATTGATCAATGTATACACTTGTTCCTTTAAACATTTCAATTTCTTCATCTTCTAATGAATTTAATAAGAATATTCCATCACTTTCATTAATTATTTCTGTATGTTCAAATGGACTAATTGTTAAATATTTTTTAATTAAATCATTTTGACTATATATTTTTGATGGTGAACTTATATATTCTTGTTGTTTAATTTGATATGACTCTACTAATTTATTTTCTTCTATTATTTCTTTTTTTTCATATGATTTAATCATTTCATCAACTACTTCTTGTGCTTCAATAAATCTATTTCTTAAAGGAATAGCAGTATATTCATCTGGTAATAATTGAAGTGGTGTTAAATAATCACAACTAATCATTTCTGCATATTCAATTTTTTGAATTGGTAAAAGTAATGTATAAAATGTTTCTGTTGGAATGAAATAAAATGGTATTAATTTACAATTTGGTGTTTTTGAATATATTATTGAAATTCCAACATTATCAAGAAGATACCATAAACATTTTTCTTTATTTTCTTCTTCTGATCTAAGACGAAGAGAAAAATTATATTCCCACATTAAATCATAAAATCTTTGCAATCTTGTTGCTGGATCTGCATCATCTGAATTTAATCCAAAAAGTTCTTCATATTCAACTAAAATTTGTGGATTTTTAGCAATCGCCATCATAGCATCTTCACGTTCTGCAGTAAAATGATGTTCTATAAGAAAAATATCGGAATTTGCTTCTATTCCTTCTTCTTTAATACATAATAATCCAAATGGACTTTTTCTTCCATTTTCTGGAACAATACCTTCTGGCATTTCACAAAATTGAAATACTTTTCCTGCATCAAAAGTTTGTTCAACAAGTTTATGATATAATGGAATAATTAAATTTGATGGAATTCCAAGTCTTTTAAATTGTTCTTGATGACTTTGCATAAAAAATACTGCTGCAGTTGTTATGTCTTGCATCAATTTTAATTCTTTATTCTTTCTTCCTTTTTATTTTTTTTTAGGGTTTTTTTTTCATTTCTAAGTAATAAGAATTAATTCATTCATGTATTATGTTAATTAATATTAATTAATGAAGTATTAAATGAATTGTTTTTGATAAGAAAGAGAATAAAAGATATGACTTGTTATTTATTTTGTAAGAGTTATATGATGGTAATACTTAAAAATATTTAAGAATAAAATATGAAGAAGATAATGAAGAGTTTAAAGATATTAAATAAATATTAAAT